CGAGTGACGCGCGGGAGCGGCGCGCGCGGAGTTTTGTCCGGCCGCCAATTGCCCAAACCGTCACGCACCATTGCTCCACGAATTATTTATATTATGATATTTCCCTCTGAACACTTTGCATTTTAATAATATTAAAACTTTTGGATGTGCGTTAAAATGCGAATTAAATTGCGATTAAAATAGGGATTCTTATTTTACAACAATAACTTTTACTTAATGCTTATAATATGTCTCGCAGCAGCAATGTTGGATCCTTGTATTCGACTTGGGAATTTATTTCTAAAACCACTCATCTTTTGGCCACGTGTCAAGTTCTTACAAAAAATAGAATCAATTTGGGATGGCGTTTGTATATTATGTTCAAGATGCTTAGTGTACATGTAGTGTATCATTACCTACTCGGTACATCGGCGCCAGCAGGGGAACGTCGACACCACGGTCGGGCTGTCTCCATGCAGGTAATTGAATAAAACCATAATAATGCTAGCTTAAAAATAGACACAGCGACCTACATTGGGAGCCTATTTTAATCATCTAACATTGTCCGCGTAACAATCATTCAACGCAAGCTTATTTCATACCTGTTGTAATTAACTTCTGTAGCGCAGGTCTCTGTCATTGCCCTCATTAAACGCTAATGTTGTTGTTTTTTATTTCGTATTCGATTTGCAAACAAGTCGTAATTCAAATATCGATTTTTTTTTAATTCATGTGTTACGACAACAAATTTCAATTAATTGATGTAAAATTCCAAATACAGCAGGCAAATAATTAGTTATTATGAAAATTTGAGAGATTTCATCGAAGCCATTTGTCACAGCTGCACTGACGTGCGCAGTTCCAGAATCCAGAACATCTTAATACTCTAGCTTTGCTAATCAAGTCCAAAACGTCTGTATTACCAATGATTGCATCATGTGTCATTTTAATTGTCATGTATTGTGGTTTCTTACAATAGCAACGCTCAGACAGACTTGAGCGCCTTCGTGCTTAGGAGAAAAAGAGTCTATTTTTTTCATACACGTTATGTCATATTAATTATGTATAGGATATTTCTTATATAACAAATCTCGATTACAAAAAGTAAATCTACGTTTCATTGTATCCGCGCCATATTTCCTTGAGGAATGAAAGGTTTAACCCGCACCTATACTTGTTTTTTCTCCTTTGTCCACAGAAAACGCCAGAAGAAACAGAGTATTGGGCAATCGACGTGTCAAGGCTCCGCAGATTGATTAGCACGCGGGGCGGGGGCGGGAACGGGGCGGCAGGGGGGCAGGTTGTGACCCCCGCCGGCCTGACACTGGCACTGATCGCTGAAACTAATTCAGCCTGAAAAATACGTAACAAGAAATCAAAGTAAATCATTGACGACAACAGTTGATAAATTCAAAATAATATTTGACTTATTAAAACCGGGTTCGTCGACACTAAGGGTCCCGAAGCTGATACTAATGCAACTCCAGCTTGCGCACGAGCAGACTGCGCGCACGGTCGCTGCAATTAAAACTTTACTTCTTGATAGTCCTATATTTAGCGACACATTAATTCTGAACTTCGTCATGATAAAA